GTATGGTCGCCGGATCGACTGGCGAGACTCCATGGATACACCCATATAGGCATGCACCAAAACCAAAACTGGTTTTGAAGTTTTGGTTTTGAATTTTGGTTTTGAATTTTGGTTTTGATATAGTTTTGGTTTTGGAATAGGTTTTGGTTTTGAAGGTTTTGGTTATAATGATATTAGTCTTCGATTTGGTTTTGGTTTTGGTTTTGACATATAATTTGTTTTGAACTATCTCAAAGCTAAAACCAAAACCATCAAAATCAAATTCTATATCAAAGCCAAAACTATATCAAAACCAAAACCTCAAAACCAAAACCATAGCAAAGCCAAAACCATAGCAAAGCCAAAACCATAGCAAAACTAAAACTTCAAAACCAAGAGATTTAGTATTGGTGCATACCTACACCCATATCTAAAACCCATTGTTTTCAAAAACCGATCATTAGTTTACGAGATGAATTACAATTGAGTTCACTGAAGAGATGGAGCTAAATTAGGATACACCCTATCTGACGTACAAAAGCTCATTTTTTATTGGAAGAAAGTTTGTCTTCAGTTAGAACTATGATCAATGGTGATTCTTAACCTTAATTGAATTTTATTAATCTATGAGCTAATAATCAATTAATGATTCTTTTGCTACATGCTTCGAAGTTTAATGCTATCGCATACGCGTACGACACTTACCATAAGGAAAGAATTTTTTGTGACTAGATCGATAAAGACCCATTTGAAGGACAAGATATGCATTTTGGTTACACATCAAGTTCAGTTTTTGCAAGAAGCTACTCAAATTATTGTTCTGAACAATGTAAGGAGATATATATGTGTGGATAATAAAATAATGTCAATATAATTTTTGATAGGGTAACATTACAAGCAAAGGCACCTACAATGAGCTAATAGAGGAACCATCATTTTGTCAACTAGTCAAAAATATCAAACAGCATATCCACGAGATACCACAAGCGGCTGGGTTTCTCAGACAACAGACGGAGATAATAGCTTTGGAAGAGGAGAATCTTAATGAAACAGATAGGATGGTACCAGAAGACATTCGACAGGAAGGCATGGTGAAACTTCGTGTGTATGCATCGTTTGTGCGAGCAGGTGTTGGCATTGTTGGTGGTCTTCTTCTTCCATTGATATTCTCTGCTCAGCAGGGACTCGGCATGTTTAACAATTGGTGGTTGGCGTCATGGAGCGAAGATGAAGGACAACGTCATAGTTTAATCAAAAACTGTACAAAAATGTCTGTCAAACAGAGCAGCCTGGTTCGCAATTTTAGCAATGCTGAGTGGAATCAATACCGTGACAATCGATTCTATATCTATTGCGGTTTGTTTTTACTTTTCTCACGTCACTATTCGGTTGAGATATAAAGTTTCATTGAAGTTGTTTTGATACGGCAAGAAATGAGGTTGTTACAGTAGACGGCAAGAAACAATAATTAATCATTTAATTAAATGATAACCTTTGTGATAGGTGACTATAGCAAGGCATGAGTATGAGCCAGTTGAGTACAACTAGATATTTAATATTGAATATTCAGTTAACTGATCTATAATGGCTATGATGGTCAGCATTATTATTAGAATATCTTATAATTGACTGAACCTGATACTCCTAAGATATTGATAAGTAACAATAAAAGAAAACTTCCTCAGTATTCTTGTACCATTAACATTCATCCAATGCTAATTATTAAATCAATTGATACTATTCCTTTTGCTCATCATATTTTCTGACGATCTCATTCACAAATGAGTTAGCTGACAGATTAGGTAATGCTACACTATAAATTTCGATCCTTGACTAGATATGTTCTTGACCATTTTTTAAAGAAGTAAATTTGCTTAAAGAACATGGAAGTTGTCATATTGGGTCAATATTTCAGAAACTCAAGACACTCTTAACCGAAGCCGACGAGAATTTTTAAAGTACTCTTAAAATCTTTAGTCGAGGTTTCCATTCAAGTATTTCTATATCCATTCAGAAAACACAAAAATCAACTACATTCATCATAATAAGTCCTTGAAGACGCTTGAAAAGACATCGTTTGCATCAAGAAACGTCAAAAAGCTTTCTGATTATGTTTTTGACTGACATCATGAGTATAAAAAGTCACTTGTCTTTGTAAACTATATCAACATATTGCTGGGAAAATTCTCACGTTTTTCACATGCACTCATAGTGTTTCCAAGCATCTTTCGTGCATCTTCTATGATGAAAGTAACTAGTGTTGATGCTTTCTGAATAAACCTGAAAGCCGCTCCAACAATGACTGCAGCTGATCTGTTCACCCACGTTTCCAAAAACTCTTGTGTTCTTTTATGACTTGTGTAAAGCCAATTAGACATCTTTAATTATTGTTTTGATGATTAATAATTCCCTCTTCTGACTTAGACACTATCGTGATAGGAAGCAGCCGTGTTTGAAGACTGTGAAAGAAATCTAATACATCAAATAAATGTTGCAGTGAAAAGAAGTAGCCAAAATGATAATAATATAAGGAATATACTTGGAAGTATAGTTGCTATAACATCTGACTACTACATAGGCCGTGATGGCTCTTAGTTTAAAGAAGTGATTCTTTTCCGAAAGTTGAATCCAATGAACAGTTCTCTTTCAAGGATAGCATCAATGGAACGGTTCTTCTTCAGAAATTGTGTCCAGACAATATGAGGGGTAAACAAGTGAGACTTCAACGTTGAAGTATGATGAAATCTTTAAAGTCTAATGAAGTATTTTGATGCTTCATGGAGTCTTCTGAAGTCTTGTGAAGTCCCTAGAAGTCTCCTGAACTCTGATGAAATCTCTTGAAGTCTCATGAAGTTCCATGAAGTGTCAAGGAGTCTTTTGAAGACCTTGAGCTACAGCTTTTAATATAAAATTTGATGCGACTAAAGTCCTGTGAAGTCTCTTGATCTCGTGGAGTCTGATGAAGTCTGACCATGTCTTGTGAAGTCACCTGAAGTCGCAGGGATCCTCTTGAAGTTTTTTGAAGTTTTTTGAAGTCTCATGACAGACCTGCCACCTTTTTAACCCTGAAAAGCAGAAAATTATTTTCAAAAAGCAGAAATTGACTGATATTTTATCGTAAAAAAGCAGAAAAAAGCAGAAAGTATGTTTTTAATATTAGAATATGTTCAAGTTTTGACTCATTATAATAAGAATGGATTTTTACAAAGAAATTTGATATTTATTGACCAAAATCAAGGAAAAAACAGTTAGAAGAATAAATATAGTGATGGAATACGATTTTTTAAATGTATATTTTTCGTCTGTTTTGACGGCTTGTAATGATTCTTCATTACCCAGTATATGTTTATATAATTCAATACACGATAAGGTAGAACTTAATCGCATTTTTAATTCAGCTGATATAAGCTCTATTGTCATACTAACTCTTCTATCATTTATTAAATGCTTCATTTATGAAAATAATGATTCAAAATAAGCATTACTGCTAGGTAGTGAATATTAAAAACAAATGAGCTTCTTAAAATTTGATGATTCAGTGAGAGAAAATAAGAGCATCTATAACTGATCAGATCTTATTATTTTGTCGCCTGTTGAAAAATCATCATCAGCTTTTTTTTCATCGCGACATACGTTCACTACTACTACATCATCCACGAAAAAAAGAATGTATCAAAAGCACCACTAAGCATTGATAAAAATGATCTTTATATTTTTAAAAATACTCTTTCAAATATAAAATTTTGGATGAAAATATAAAAATTACAATATTAAAAGAGCAGACAAGATGGCACATCTATCTCATGAAGTTTCTAAAACATGATGAAGTCTCAAGAAGTCTCATGAAGTACAATGAAGTCCAATGAAGTCTCATGAAGCCTTTTAAAAATTTGAAGTCTCTATACTTGAGGTCTCTGGAAATCTTTTGAAACCTTTTGAAGTTTTGAAATCTTGGAGTCCACTGTTTCTCCCTCCATGAAATACTCCTTTTCTAAAAACTCGTTCTAGCAATTATTTCATTTTTTTGAGAATTGAGCACTTATATTCTAGCATAAAGTTTCTGTTAGCTTTGTGTCAGTACAGGGTGTGTAAAAATGTTTTTCCGGGGACTAACGCTCCGATTTTAAACAGCATCAATAACAAATTTTATACTAAATGAAAGCAGGTCGAAAACGGGATTTTTCAGTATTAAATAGTGAGGTTCTTTCAATTTTTTCATACCAAACACAACAGATCTCTAGAAACAATGGTGCATAAAAATGGTTTTTCATAGGCATAAAGCGGTGATTTCAAATAACATCCATAATAAATTTCATACTAAATTAAAGTGATTCTGAAATGGAATATATCAATACTTAATGGTAAGAATTATGACAAAAATTTCAGTATCGAATCCAGGAAATTTCTAGAATTTTATGCCATATCGTCAGCGAAAAATTTCTCTCATGATGCAGTTTAAACTAGATTTCATTTAAAATTATGAATATCACAAATTAATACTTCATTAGTTGAAATTTGATGAAGCGAATCAATAATTATTATGATAATCATTAGCCTTCGTCACCATATGAAGATGAGATCCGTGTCCTTAAAATCGGTAAGAAATTGGCGATTAATCGCGATTTATCGAAACGATAATCGTGCGCTAAATCGCGATAAAATCGTCGATTTTTCTCGATTATTTCGGCGATTTTTGCGATGAACCGTAACTTTATAGTCTGTTTTAATAATCTATTCATTGATATTCTATACGATTTGATACATACGCTTACCTAGTTTTTCTTCTCATATTAGAAACTTTTTATTACTTTTTTTAATTTCACAAATATTTCTATTGAAAAATTAAACGCTAATATTATTTTACATAGACGTATTATGTAATAAGAACGAAAATTACAACGTGTTATGAAGTTTTTGTATAGTTAGATGAAACCATGTTTGAAAAAAAAATATATTGAAACGTTCATATGTTGTAACTGTGGTTAATATTGAATTTTTCTTAAGAGAGATTCTATATGTAGTTTTTTCATTTATTACAAATTAAAAATCTATGAAAAAGAATATAAATAAAAGTTCTAAACAAAAACTATAGAACTACAGTCAAAGAAAAAAATTCTGGGACACTTAAAAACAGCTTCGCAAAATTTTATAACTTATAAGGGAAGGTCGCCAGATGTCACGCTCCGTTTCGAATCTTGTATTTGCCATTTTGTAGAGTTCACGAAGTACAACATA